TTCATGGCTTCCTGCCAATCTTTGACAAAGTTTTGTGATAAACACTGCCCCAGGGACTGTGGGTGATAGGATTGCTAATCTAATAAAAATTATCTCAAATTTTCATTATCCTTCCTAAATATTTCTCTCTTTAGACTGCTTTTGCAAACTAATTTTTCAGACTATGTGTAGCACAAATATTTGTTGATTTTTTAAAAAAAATTATTTATTTTTTACATGAGCTCTATTATTATTATTATTTGCATTAAAATTCTTAATATACCTTTATACCACAATTTATCATATCTCTGTATAAAAAATATGTTGACACCAAATTCACATCTTCATACATGTATTTTGTATAACGATGAGGGTCTCCTTCCACCATCCATGCAATTCCCCTTCTCCCTCCCTTTCCCTCCCATCCCTCTTTCCTATCTAGAAGTAATCTTCTTCCCATGCTCTTCCTCCCTACTCCATTTTGAGTCACCCCCCCTTATATCAGAGAAGACTTTATGCTGTGTGATGGTTTGTTAATTTACATTTGTAACTACATCAAATTAGAGTATTTTTAAATATTATATTATTTAATATATCATTCTTGGTTTATTATTTTAAAATAATAAATCCTTTGTGATTGAATACAAAATGAATTATAGTGCACAAAATGTGATCATAAATAAAAAATCTCTGCACACAATTTTCTATGGTCCATTAAATTTCCCCTATGACAAAACAAATCAAATCTACATTTGAACGCTCCTTTAAGTATATACCTACATGAACAGGGTAAGATGCTATTTCTGAGCTTGGATTAAGCAACCCCTTAGGATTTTTTTTCTAATTTTTATTTTATGATTTCTTAAGAGAGAGTGCAGCTATGCTGTCAATGCTGTTCTCAAACCCTTGGGCTCATGTGATCCTACTACCTCAGCCTCCTGTGTGGCTGGTACTACAGGCATGTGCTACCTCCCCCAGTTTAACATTATTTTAATGTGATGTTTCTATTATTATTCCCAAGAAGAAAAGGGGCAAGTGACAACCCAAGGTGTACAGTGCAGCGGAAATCTGAGATTTGTATTGTTGAAGCTCAATGTTATTCCTGTGTATTGGTAAACCAGTCATGGTAACCTATAACCAATGTGAATCCTAACTTGGCCCAGTACAGTATTTCTTCTGCACACAAGGATGATCTGGGGATTTAAAATGTCTTTCTCTAAGATGGTAATACAAGGTAGTGGTAGAGCCAGGAAAGAAAAACTAACAAACGGATCCCAAATTTCTCTACTGTATCATTGGAGTCTCAAAGCAAGTCTCATGACTGTTGCCTGTATGCAAGGTAGAAATGTTTGTGCTATGTAAGAATAGCTACTCCTGCTCTTGCTTTTGGTTTCTGTTCCATGGAATATATTTGTCCATCTCTTCATTTTAAGTTCCTGTGTGTCATTTCCAGTGAAGTGTATTTCTTATAGCAGCACATTGCTGAGTCTTTGTTTTCCCCATTCAGTCAGTATAAATCTTTTAAGTGGAGAATGTAAGCCATTTACATTCCAACTTTTTATTACTAGGTAAGGACTTATTCCTGTTGTTTTGTTAATTTTGGGGTTGTTTTGTATATGCTTTGGTTCTCTCCTTCCTCTCTTGTTCTTTGTAGTTGGTTGGTTTCTGTATTGATAAGGGTTGATCCTTTTTTTCTTTTGTGTTTTGAGGTACTATTAAGTTTTACACTTTCTTACATTTTCTTGATAGTAGCTATTATCCCTTTATTTTGACTTAATTTTGATGCATTTGTTGTAAGGCTGGCCTAGTGATGATGAATTGCCTCAGTTTTTGCTTGTCTTGGAAGGAGTTTGTTCACCTTCCATTCTGAAGGATAGCCATGCTGGGTATAGTATTCTTGGTCAGCAGGATTTTGTTTTGTTTTGTTTTATTTTCTTTAGAGTTTCAAAGATATTGTCCCAATCTCTCCCGTCTTGAAAGGTATCCACTGAGAAATTTGCTGTTAATTAAATGGAGATTTTCCTATATGTGCTTTGATGCTTTTCTGTTGGTATTTTTTAGATTTCTATGCCTTGGACTTAAAATATTTGACAACAATGTATCTCAGAGAGTAATTGTTTAGGCTGAATCTAATTAGGTTCCTTTAAGTTTAATAGACCTGTTTATTGATGTTTTGCCCAAGATTTGGGAAGTTTTCAGCTAGCATTGTATTAAACAGGTTTACTATTTCTTTTCTCCTCTCTTCTTTCTGGACTCTCTATAATGTGAATGTTTTTATTCTTTGAGGGATCCCATGATATACTTGAGATATTATTTGTCATTGCTGACAAATAAAGGCACATTTCTCCATAATGGAGAGAGGCAATATAGACTTGGTGTTGGAGTCTTTCATGGGGGTGGCTAAGGGATTAGAACAGGGCGGGTCCTAATGTGGGTGTTTAAGGGTGGGGTTGGTATGAGGGAGTGGTGAGCCTTTCTCAGAAAGTCCCTTGGGAGGGAAAGCAAAATTTTTCTTAAGATGTCGACTGTCACTTAAGATGGCCATCCAGATGCTAAGTAAGAATCTTACATCCCCCCCTTTTTTGTTTCTTATTGGGGTCTTTAAGGGACAGGGGCATAGATCAATTTTCTGCAGCTTCTTCCTGCTGGGAAGGGGCAGTGTCTGGACCCTTGTTAGGAGAGTGGTGTGTCACTGAGGCAATGGTGATGGTCAGGAGGTGCTGGGCGATGCTGACTGGGGACAGCCCAATTTTGGTGAGGGATTGGAAGTCCTGTAACAGAAGCTGGTTCACGGTTTGGTTAGAGATCCTTTGAATCTGGTCTTGAATAAATATAATGGCACAGGGGGCAAGCATAAGCAAAAGGCCTATGACAAGGAGAGAGGTCAGGAAAGGAAGTGCCCACTGGAGAAGAGGGTTACTTAGCTGCCATCCTTCAGTTCCAATGGCAGTGGGAAGCTTTGGGACCTGAAGGAGATTGGAGATAAAGGAGGCATTAGTAATTGAAGTCCCCTTGGTGGTAAGGAATCCAGGCTCCTTCCAAATAACAGAGTGGGAGAGAAGTATACGGAAAGCATATTTAGAGTCACTATAGACATTGAGGAAGGCTCCCTTTGCCAAAGTGAAGGCTCTGATGAGGGCAACAAGTTCAGCCTGCCGACTGGATGTATTATTGGGGAGGGCAGCCACTTCCACAATGAGGTTAGAGAGACTATTTGCATACCCTGCTGATGAACTCCCTCCTGAAGGAAGGAGCAGCCATCTGTGAACCTTGTGTATGTTGCCTGGAGCAAGGGACTTTCCTATACATAGGAGGGATGTGGAAGAAACTTCTCCAGAGTTTCAGTGCATGAATGGGTAAGAGGAGAAGAGACAGAAGAGTTGTGAGGAGCAGAGGGGAGAGTAGCAGGGTTTAAAGGTGAGCACGTGTGGAAAGTAAGACTGGGATCTTCCACCAGGGAAACCTGTAGAGATAAAAGGCAGCAGGGGGTAAGGAATGTAAGCCCTAATAGGTGAGGAGGTCCTTTAGGTTCTGGGGAGCCAGGATGGTGAGTGGGACCCCAAAGGTGAGTTTCTTTGACTCCTTAATGAGAGGTTGCAGCCAATGTTGGTAGACAAGGGGAAAGTTAAATTGACACTTTTTTCCCCCTTAGGTCTCCTATCAAGTCTACTCAGTCTGTCTTTTGTCAACGTTAGCTTCAGTGTGGCCTCAGCCAGGGAGATTGCTGCCTAGGGTTTTACAATATAGGAGAGTTCTGGGTCCCTTGCTAGAAGTAGGGTCTGTGGAGGAATCCAGAGCTTTAGTGGCAAGTAGAAGCTGGGCAGGTGAGCAAGGTGAGCAAAGGGAAGGGTTAGAGAAAGAAGCAAGCCTGCACAAAAGTCATGAAGATTAGAAGGTTGAATTGGTCTATGGGCCTTTAGATCAGGAGCCAAATGGAGTGAGGCTCAGTGGGTGAGGAGGCAGCCAAGAGTTGAGTCAGATGGGATTTGGGCGTTCCCTCTGCTGAGTTGGAGTCTGTGACTGAGAAGGGAGTCACCCACTACTTCCCCAGTCCTGGGCTTTGCCCATAGAGAGTCTTGGTTGCCTGGCCAGGGCTTTCATGACCTCTGCTGAGGACCTGAGAACCAAGATCCAAGAGTGAACTCGCCAAGGGGAAGGGATTGGGAGTTCCCCATGGCAAGCTGGAGTGAACTCATCAAGGGGAAGGGATGGGTGAGAACCTTGGTGCTGGGCCAAGATCTAAGTTCTAGAGAGGAGACTTGTACCCAAATGAGTCCGGAGTGTGGACGAAGAAGAAGAGCGCTAGGTAAATGGAAGAAGGTATGTGGTTGGTAATTGTCCTCCGGCCCTCAGGCCAGGATCCCAAAGCAGCTCAAATCCTTGGAGGGGAGAACAAGGCTAATGGGAGAATGTGATCAAAGCTGTTCTGCAAAAAGTTTTGAGATGGGGGCTGGGGATGTGGCTCAAGTGGTAGCGTGCTCACCTGGCATGCGTGCTGCCCAGGTTCGATCCTCGGCACCACATACAAACAATGATGTTGTGTCCGCCAAGAACTGAAAAATAAATATTAAAAAAGTCTCTCTCTCTCTCTCTCTCTCTCTCTCTCTCTCTCTCTCTCTCTCTTTAAAAAAAGTTTTGAGATGGATGTGAATGGGCTCATGGGGTGGGGCTATGGAAGGACTTGAAACATCTCAGACAGTAGGGTCCATCTCTAGGGGGTAATGGGAAGGCACTGGCTCATGGAATAGGGGAAGGATCAGGGGAGTGGCAGGCGAGTTCGGATGGAAGCATATATGAGGGGAGAAGGAGAGCATGGCTCCCAACTTAATCTTTACTTATAGAGCACTGCTCAGATATGGGCCTGCTCGACTTTCACTTGGGAGTGTACATGACACTAACTGCTCAGCTTTGAAGGATTATGGGGATCAATCTCTACCATCTAAATATTCACAGTCTAGCTCTTCAGCCTTTTGTGAAATGAAAGGCCAGAATCCAGTAAGTGTCTTACTGGAGAAACTCAATGTGCTTGAGACAAGCCACTTTACTGTGTCTTGTGTCCAAAATATCACATGGATTTAGGAAAATACACCTTTCAGAAATTTCAGACAAGCTCACCAGTATCCCACAATTCCATGAAATATGGCCCATGGGACTGAATACAAGTTCAAGCCCCCAAATGTCTACTTTACGAATGCAGCCCTGGGAAGTAACTCAGAGGACTGGAGTTCTGCTTCTCTTCCTCTCACTGGGCCAGATCTCATCTTCAATTGACATCCAGCATCCACTATTTCTCCAGAGAAAAGAATGCCTGTTGATTCTCAACTCACTTCAGAATTTCTTACAGTTTGAACTTCCCCAGCTCTCTGATGATGTCCAAGTATGGTTTTTAAGGCTTAATCGGAGTTCTCTAGGCTTCTTTCCCCAGAGAAAATTAAACTTACCAAGACTTATTACATCCTATATATAATTATAAATATCTTCTTATTTTATAATCAAATTTGCAAAGGAGTTGAGAGGCAAGTGCTTTGGTCCTGTTTGGAGATTACAAAGACATCCTCCCTAAGTTTAAATCATATTCTCAAGAGGGTAAAGAGAATTGGTGAAAAAATTCAAATCTTCTGATGTCTGACTCTTTCCTGTGTTCTCCATCCTACCAAGGTAAGTTTTATAGCCCTCAGAATTCAATCACAAAATAAGAAACCACACCCCTGAGGTAACCACAAGTTACTAAGTAGAAGGCATAGCTGTCACCGTGAGGACTGGAGATCAATGGAAAGAGGTCAGGGATATTCAAACTCAGAGCTTTGGAGTAGATTCCGTGGTTCTAGGACCCCAACTTCCAAGGCCCAGAGAACCAGGACTCAGGATCTGAGGGTAAGTTGTTTGGTAGCTTTTCTGTGTCTCTGGTGCTGATGATATTTAATAACACGCAGACTGAAAGCTACTATAGCTGCCTAGATGAAAACTCTGATATGATGCTGATACAAAATTCAAGCAGTTCCCACAGGTATCCAGTCTCTCTCTGGTTCCTCCAAGGGAAGAAACTGCTAGGGAGGACTGCAAAGAGGTGTGATTTGTAAATTTCCTCTCTCCATGTGACAGAGCAGAATGAGAAGGGAAGGTGGTTTGGAATTGAGAGATGTCGAGTACATGCACCCCCCCCACACACATACACACTTCATCCATCCATGCTGTAGGCCTTTCCTAAGAAAAACAAAGAACTATATCCATGAAATATAAACCACTAGGGTGGGATGTATTTGGTGGTAGAATGCTTGCCTAGTGAGTGCAAGGCTCTGAATTCAATCCCCAGTACAGTTAATATAAATAAATAACAAAACAAACTATTAAAATTGCTTGAAATAGTGAAAAGTGGGAATGAGCTAGGAATTATATAGATTAAATACTGAATTTTTATGATCTTAAAATGATCTGAACTTTCTATCAGTGCTTTCTATAATCTGCAATAACATCTCTATTGCCAGGATACTAATATTAATGGATGGGAATTTAATTGAGGATTTGGATTATTTTCCAAAATTGCAAAATTTTGTTTCTCTGTTCCTCATAAAGTTTAAACACTGAGCTCCTCTGCCTCAGATAAAGTTGAAGTTGAAGCCTTCAGCTGTTGCAGCTCAGGTGAAGATTGTTCATCCAATTCTTCCATCCCAGGTGAAATTTTATTGTCCAGCTGTTCCATATCAGGTGGAGTTTGATCACCCAACTCTTTCATCTCAGGTGAAGTTTGAGCACCCAATTGTTCCTTCTTAGGTGAAGGCTGCACATTTTCCTCTTTTTTCTTAAGCCGTGTTTTCTTTGTAATTAAAATCAAAAGCCACAAACATATAAACAAGAGCCAATAAAGTAATATAAAAAGCGGTGTTCTCTTCCTCGCCCTCCATTCTTGCACTTCTTTTGCAGGGGGTGGACCACTGTCAACACTCCCTCCGTGACCATCTCTTGTGCAGTTCGGGGGCTCCCAGTTAGGGTCACAATGGCAGTGATGTTTGTTGTTGCAGATCCCTTTCATAGCACAGGTCTCTGGCGAACAATCACTTGCCCACAATGACATAGAGACACACTTCCGGTGTATGCACACTTGTCCATTACCACACTCTGTGCCATCTTTCACATCACCAATATCTGGTATGGTCATCCCAAAATGATAGTCGGTACTCCAACAGGTCACACCATTGAAGTCAATCCAATGCACAGTAGTGTGACTCCTCAAAGAGGGAATTTCTTTCACATTCTCACACTGAACTCTTCCACAGAGGAAATCTGATATGTTACACATAACATAGTGGTCATCACTGAGACCACAGTTACCAAAGCGGTCACCTCTGCTGTTCATTTCTGTGTAGCAACTCTCCTGTGCACTCCTGGATTCTTTGCCAAAGATCTGTCTGCACTGTTCATCACGTGCATTGCATCTCTTCTCATGGCAGTAGCCACTGCCCATGCAACGGACCCCATCCTGCACATACACATCCTCTGGACACTCAGGTGAGGTGCCATTGCACCACTCTGGAAGATCACACTCACTGACATTTTCTCTACACACTTGACCCGGTGGCAAGAGAAGGCAGTCTTCACAACAAAGCCCAGAGGCACATTCAGCCCCAAATTTCAGAGTGCAGTTTTCCGAACAACATGGATGGTTTGTACACAAAATTGGGGATCCACAGTCACACTCCTCTCCTTCTTCAACCACACCATTCCCACAGCCAGTCCCCCTAAAGATGTCCTCTTGTTTTGGTGTGTTGAGCATGCAGTACATATATTTAAAGTTTTCCCACATTTGAGCATAACTGCAGTTGCTGAATCTTGTGCCATCTGATCGTTCTTCAGACATCATACAATGGCGTTGCCCACATCGACATATCCATACATCATGGTACATACCCAGATTATGACCCATCTCATGTGCTATGGTAAGTGAGACTTCATACAGGTCATCATCTGGGAAACTATCCACTCCACATTCCAAACCAGGTATGCATACTGTTGAAGCATAGGCTAAGCCAAAATACATACCAAAATTTTGTTTTACCAAAAAATGTGCAAGATCATGTTTTATGCGAGTATCTAGGTTGTCTCTCTTCCAATTGCAAAACTCATACAGGGTTCTGAATATGTTGTTACTCACTTCAAAAAAGTTCTTTTCATTCCAGACTTCAATTCCAAGTAAAATAAAATCAACACCCAATGGACTTAAAAAGGAATGTATGTTATTGACAAGCAAAAATACTTCTTGTATAACAAATGAAACATTACTTTGCTTATAAAGGAATCGCTGATAGTCTACAATCAAAACTGTTTCAAGATACCATGTGTGGGTCCACCACCCTTCATAGCCACTTTGCCTCAAAATGGAATTATCATTCCTTTGGAGCTTCAGTTGTCGTGCTAGTTCTTCTTCTGTTAGTCCACATCTCATGGGTGGGAATTGTGTCTTCTCTCTGTGCATCTTATAAACCAGATGTTCAAATGTGGCAGAAAGTCTTTTGGGTTTGATTTCATAAACAATGTCATGGATCTCTAACATACCTTGAAAGCCCCCCAAACAGGTGCTAAGAGCAACCAGGGATTCTGGGTCTCCTTCCACATAGCCATCGTAGTAGCAGTCACTCTGGACAAAAGGGTGGTCCTCGAGCAGAGCACCCTGCTTTGTGTAGGTGAACACAGAGAAGGGTTTGGACACCAGAAGTTTCTTGGCCTTCATGTGGACAATGTGTTTCTTGCCTCCAAAGTGCAGACTGTAGGAGATCCAGTCAGGGGGTCTCAAGCCTCTACGGGTGCCAGTTATCCTCAAGGGTATCACTACTTCTGGGAGGCTATGGTGTTGAGAGTGGCCAATCTGGGCCCATCCAGAAAGGAAGAGCAAGATGCCCAGGCAGAAGTGGAGGACAGTGATCCTCATATGCACCAGGGCCTCACCCACAGCCATCATGGTTTATGACTGGAGGCAATGGGGCAGGGCAGGAGGTGCTGTTGTCCTGTCTCCTGCCTTTGACTTGGTTGCAAGCAGTAGTGACCTTTAATTGGATGTCTTCTGGCAGGGTCAATCCATCAGAGCAACACAACTAAAAGAAAAAATGAAAAGAAGGGCAGAGATGGGGTGGCTAAATTATGAAAAGTCTAAGGTGGAGAAGAACAGCAGGGTATTGGTTAAAATGCATTAGTGTTTGGTTTAGGGTATGACTCCATATAATGCACTGGATTTGCTCTTTAGTTTTGGTGAGGTGGAGTCAGACTGTGGAAGTTGAAAAGAATGACAACTGCCCATTGGTTGAAAATTGCCATACACAGACGGAGGACTCGTGGGTTCATGAACCATTCTCTAAATACATGTACAAGTGGGAACATTTTCCCAATAAATATTTAAAACCAGAGTCTGAGTGAAAAGCTGAATATATACCTTGTTTTGATGAGGAATTACAATATATACAAATTGACTTGGAATAAATAATAATTAGTTGTCTTTCCTATGTCAAATGACTATTTACACACATTACTCAGGAGAAATATGCAAAACAATTTTATATACATTACTTTTCTTCATGATCCTTAATATGGGCTTCCATGCAACTAATTATGATTTGTATGATCTTCTTCCAATTCTGTTGGATTTCCATGTCAAAGCATCAATTGTCCTTCAAAAATATTGGAATCTGCTCATAATGGATATTTTCAGGCCTTAAAACAAGCAATAGTGGAGTTGGAAGGGGGAATACATAACTTGGGTTTATAGATGTTACTGAAAGGTGTTTTATGGGATTACACTCATACACAAAATTCTATTTTCAAAATATCTGGCCCTATATAAAGAAAAGTAGATCAAGCTAGCTGGAAGAGGAACAGAAATAGGAGGGTGGGAGCAAAATAAAGTGTCTCTTAATATGAAAACTAAATCAATGAACCCTGGGAGAATGGAGGAAAGTTTTGGTGCAGATGATGTTGTGCCAGAACATAGGCATCAAAATCCCTGGCATTTCAGGATCCTGAGGAAACTGCTCCAAGATCAACCTTCCCATAGATTTGTCTCAGAAATGACAAAACCTACAAAAATACAGATTAATCAATCATTCTGAGAGTACAAATATCCTATAATGGAAGAGTACAAATGAGAAATCTGATAATAGCACACTTCCTGTCTGATAATACTGATTTGTTACTTTGTTATCAAGCAAAGTAGGAAAGATACTGCAGCATATGCAGTTACTGTGCAGCACACCGAGGAAACATCAAAGTATGATACAACCTGGAATAAGTTAATGATATGCAACATAAATTTACACAGTGTTTGTAGCAAAGATATATTTTAAGAATTTGTTAGATTTCATTCAATAGTTTCCATATAAAATGACTATTTGTCTTGACCTAGAGAAAGTATCCATGGTACTCGTGACATCATTAAAGGAATGGTAACATAAAAGTGGTGACCATTAAGAACCACAATGCTGATTGGGGGAGAAAGTAACAGTGGCAGCAGAGGAATGTGAAATCTACAATGAGGGATCTAAAACACACTGATCAAACATCACTTTCCATGGTAAAAAAATTCAAACACAAAAAAAGCATAGATTCAGCACCTGTTGCTTCCTGGACCACATTTCACCTTAATTTTTATTTCATCTTGATTCTAAGTTCTTTGTACTTTCTCTCTAAAATTTTTTTCTATCCCTATGGAATCATCTGCTCATGAAACATAGCAGCGGTCTCTCCCCTGTTAACACTTCTTTATGGAGAACTCCTTTTTCCTAGTTAATTTAACATAATTTTATAAGTCAACATTGGGAAGCCCACGAGGGGAGACGTCTTCCTTTCTCAGAAACCCCTCTGTTTGACAGATCAGATATTCAGTCGTACCTTGCTTTGGTTGCCAAAGCCACTTTAAATCACAAAAGTAGCAGCCATCTCCTTCCACCATTATTTCCTATTCTTCTTAATTCTCTCAACAACCTCCTGGTCAGTGCTGCTAAGCCAGAAAGTGTTGGGTGTCTAGCTACTTTCTTCTCCACCAATAATCTTACCTATGTTCTCGCTGTGTTAAGCAAATCTTCATGAAATTTAAAAGGTTGGCATTAAAAGTAGTTATTTGTGGGGGCTAGGGTTGTGGCTCAGTGGTAGAGTGCTCACCTAGCATGATGCACTGAGCTCAATCCTCAGTACCACAAGCTCCTAGGTGTGTGAGAGTGTGTTTCTGTTACAACTTGTGGTCAACTGTCTTTAGCCATTGATCATATCCTGTATCATGTCATCATGCTTGGCCATCTTAACTTAACCCTCACATATTAGTTGTCCATAACTTAATCTTAACTAAAAATTATTCATCAGTTTCATAGAGGACATACATAATGTGCCTTCCATGTTCTCCTATTTTTCCAGTTCCCATCACTGACTTTTCATTTCCATACCCCAGCTCAAGACTCCGTTGGTTCAACCCCTGTTGACTGAAGTGCTCAAACCAATCTAGAGGAATGCTGTCACCTTTTCACCACTGTGTCAACACACGGCCAATACTTCTGAGGAAATAAATCACAGCAGAGTCTATTTAGCAGGATGGGTAAGAGGGGGAGACACACAGAACTAGAATAAGATAGACTGATAGCTCAGCTTAAAGGATGAAGTCACGAACATATTGATTTCCTCCACCCCCCATGGGTTTTTTAAGGGAATTTTTAATATATGACAAGTAATTTCAAAAGTAGGAGTATATATGGACAAAGCTTAGTAATTTAGGATTTACTTTTGTAAAAGCCTGACAAATACTAATATTTTAATTGAGTTTTGAACATTAAAACATAAATATAAAACATGAAACATCCAAAGTTAACACTGATGTACCATACCCAACTTGGATTTAGATACTCATCAATTTACATTTTATAGAAATAAATTTTAAAAATTTTATCAATGCTTATAGTATATACTATTCTTCCTACCCAAATCTTCATGAAATTTAAAAGGTTGGTATTAATAGTAGTTATTTGGGGGGCTAGAGTTGTGGCTCAGTGGTAGAGTGCTCACCTACCATGCATGTACTGAACTCAATCCTTAGTACCATATAATAATAAAGATATTGTGTCCATGTACAATTAAAAAATTTTAATAAAAGTAGTTATTTGGGACTGGGGTTGGGGCTCTATAGTAGAGCACTTGCCTAGCATATGTGAAGCACTGGGTTCGATTCGTTGCACCACAAATAAATAAATTAAGTAAAGATAAAGGTCCATTTACAACTAAAAAAAAATTTAAAGAGTAGTTATTTTTTTCTTGAATATTCTAACATGCCAGTTTGGATTAACTTTCAAATTTTCAGGGCATAAAAGATACAAATAGAGTACTCAAGAATATGTTTTAACACAGGATAATTCTGTTTACAATCATGACAAAAATACCTTCAATTTTCATACATAAAAAAAGAACTTAAGCAAACAAAAGTTATTTTGGGTCAAGTTGTATCTTAGTAAGATAATGTATCATATGTGAATCAATTTTTCAGCCAACAGCATTCAAAAATAATTTGCATTATTAATTGTTATACATTGCGTTTATATAGTGAAAGAAGATGGACAAAAACTTTCAGAAACAAACAAACAGAGAAACAACAACAACAAAAAAAACTGACAAGTATTCCAACTCCTAAGATAAGAAGTAAGATATCTGCAAATTTAAAAATTTGAAATGTTGCCTGGAAAATTTTTATGCCTTACTTGTACTCTCAAATTCATTTTAACTGCTTAACATATATAATTTAATACTTCAAAAGACTGTAGCTAAATTAATAATATTTATAGAATGTTACCTCTCTGGGTAGCCATGTTTTATACAATAGTTTTCAATTAAGAAGAAATCACCTGATAGTTTTAATTGCAATCTATGATTGACCGATGAATGGAGTAATAATCTATTCAGTAATTTAAACCAATACAAATAATAATCTGATAAAGCTCACTGTGCAATCATGTCCCTGGTAAAGCCACAGATTTGACAGATATTTCACTGAGTTGGATTACATGTTTCTATGTGTGTTACTGATCAACCAAAATAGGTATACAGTGTCAAGTTTTTTTCCTGTATCTTTTTTTTTTTTTTTTAAGAGCAGCTCAATAATTTGAGGCAGGGGTTGGTTAGTACAATAAAGAGAACCTACAGGAAAAGCACTTAATACCAATGCCAGTACTTATCATATTAGGGCAGTAACTAAGGGTATTACTAATTTTTGTGTTATTTGCTTTTCTTTAGAACATAAATCAAAGCTATTAACTTGAACTTGAGGTATATACATAATACATACACAACTTTAAGCAAAATACTTTTTTTCATAGATAACATTACATTTTAATATATTGGAAACAGTATCTGTGCTGATTTGTATTTTGACTTAGTGGAACAAGAAGAGAACAATATTCAATTAGGGAGGGATAATATTGATAATAAAGCTCTTAACGTTCAAATTTTCTTCCTCTCCCTTTGTACTTAGCACGGGCTATATATTGTCCTGAGAGGATTCATTGAGTAAAATGTCAAATGCAGCTTTCATACAGTATTTTGGAAGGAACGAATGAGAAAGCAAATTGGAACGTGAGACTTTATCTTGTTTGCAAATAAGTGGTTTAAATTTTTCTTCTTGTAGAAAAAAAATCTAAATCAGTTCATTATAAGTATATCTAAACCATTAATTTTTGCAGTTTTCAGGGAAAGTCCAGCACTTTGTTTATACAAGTCTATGAGAAGAGCTCAGTAGAGATCATCTAATTTTAAATCGTGACATCCATTCAAGTTCTGGGCATAGTCCCTCCCCAGTAAGAGCACAACATGCCTGGGTATGCCCCTCATGATCTTTAATAGAAGTTAGCTTCAAATACTAGGAGATTTATGCTACAGTCCTGCAGTCTTTCACGTCTTATTAGCAAAAAAACGTAATCCAGCTTTTCTTAGGTCCTTAGGCGCTTTCCTAGAGTTCATCTCTAGTTACAGAAATCCTGTCTGTACTGTCCACAACTACTATTCAAAACTCCGTGTTGGTGTAGTAAGTATTCAAGAAAAAATGCAGAGATTGTTGGCAGCCAATGTCCCATGTAGGAAACGCGTATTATTAATCACTCTTCTGTGTAACTTCCTATTGTAGGGGATGTCTGCACAACTTCACAGGAAACCGGTAAAGGATGGTAGTTTTCCTGCATTGTCCAAACCAACAAGGATCACTTTGTGCAATTGGTGATTGAATAGTCTTCACATCCTTCCTGGTGAAGAGAATTCCCCTTCTCAGCCACCGGACCCCCCCCCTCCGGCCCCACAGGCAGTTTGGCCTCCTCTGGCCCAGGCAGAAGGGTGGACAGAGACCTAGAACCTGTCCGCTGTGCGACGCGAGGCCCCTCCATCCACGCCGCCTCACTAGCCTGGCTCAGGGATATCGCGGCCGCTTTGTCCGCTAGGAGCCTCGCGGGCCACCGTCCTTTCCCAGGTTCTCTCTGCGGCTGAGGTGGAAGCCACCAGTCAACCACGCGGGCCGGGTGGGTGCAGGGCCAGATATTGATTCTAAATACTTCCATGTTTTAAATAACCTGTGCCTTTGTTGTTTACATGGTTTCTCAACTTTCTGGTTTTTTTTTTCCCCCTCAATTTTTCTCATCAACATGTTCCCTCAAATGAAAATCAATATTGTCTTTGTTTTTGCGATTTGTTATTATTATCTGATTTCCACCGCGGTAAATTTAAGTGGCAAAACCAAGAATTCTTCACTTAATGCCCATTTAGGACAGGATCAGGTAATTTTCTTTGTCATGGAGGATAGGTGGCAGGGGACCCCGCTGAGGCTGGTCACTAACCTCATCTTTCAAGTGAGAAGAGCCACTTGATTGCTTGGGGACATAATTAAGTAAAGAGGTCGCTAACTTCACGAATGTCAAAAACCCACCGGAGTAAGCAAGGTCACTAAAAGACATCTTTGAGGACAGCTTCTCCCAAATCGTGAGCAAAATTCTGAACAGCTTCTTTGCTGTCCTTCTCTCTCTTTATATGTATTTAAAATTATGCAGAGGTGTAGATTTTTGTTGTGATGGAAATAGTCATTGGTTACTTGTGTGCATTGTTGAGAGTGAACAAAAATAAATCTCTCACAATGTATTCTTTTTTGGAAAAAATATATATGTATTTTTTAGTTGTAGATGGACACATTTATTTATTTATTTATTTATTTATTTATTTGGTGCTGAGGATCAAACCCAGGGCCTCACACATGCAGGCAAGCGCTCTACCACTGAGCCACAACCCCAGCCCCCTCACAATGTATTCTTAAGACCTCATCTTGCAAACAGGTAATAGGAAAACAAACTGAAAACAAAATTCAAGCCAGCCTTTTTTCACTCATGACATTGTTTTATATAGTGACTCCAGGTGCAAAGACCCTGAGGGAATATAATCTTTTTATTCATCAAGTGAGATAATATTCTGATAGTACAGAGTCCTCAAAGTTGATTATCATATGCCAAAACTTCAACAATGCGTCCATCTACGTGTTCTAATTACCACTGACCCTCCCTCTTTTTTTTGTGTGTGTGTGGGGGCGGCATACTGGGTATTGAACTCAGGAGCACTCCACCACTGAGACACATCCCCAGTCCTATTTTGTATTTTATTTGGAGACAGGGTCTCACCCAGTTGCTTACCACCTCACTTTTGCAGAGGCTGGCTTTGAACTTGTGATCCTCCTGCCTCCACCTTCCAAGCCGCTGGAATTATAGTCCTATGCCACTGCTCATGGCTCCTCACTCTTATTTAATAATAGTCTAATTCAGTGTTTTCAAACTTGAGTAACAATACATTAAAAATGGTTCATTGTGTCCCAAGCCAATAAAGTAGAATAAGAAATGATAAAGTGCTTAATGCTCTTAAAGATCTGAATAACTCTCAAGAAATTATGGTTTCTCAGGGTGGTGGTGAAGTAGGGTGGGCGAGTTTGTGTTCATTCATATCCTGTTTATTTGAGTTTCTCTTCTTTAGAGCTAAACTCTTGAATAACTTACCAATAGATGAAGTGATGATTCCCATGATCATTTCTAGGTACAGCTTTCTTTATGTCTCATTTCTAATACCCACCAACAAAGACTTTTTTGGGAACTCTCATGACAAAGAGAAATATGAATCCCTTCCCTTTCAATTGTCTCTCATTTGATTGAGTTCTAGATTGAGCTTCCTAGCAACAAGAATCTTTCAGAATTCAGAGCATGGCAACAACCTCAAATTCCTCTTCACTCTGGCTCCATTGTCTCTATTAAAGCTACTTACTACTCAGTATAAAAAGCCCTGACTTCCTTACTCTCATTGTATTCCAATAACAGTTCAATATGAATAAGACTCATTTCCTTACTCCTATTTGATATTTTCCTCATACACACTATGCACTTTTGCTCAAACCACTATTATCCTGGTTTCAGTTTATTTCAACATTGAATCATGCTTTGGAACTGTTGAAGGACTTCAAGTTCCATTAAAAATTTTTTTGAACCTATTCAGAGACACTCAGACATCAGCATTCATCTACATATTTCTTCCTAAGGCCAATGAATGACTCAGAGACAAAGCATATCTGCAGCTGGACTCTCTTGCCTCCCCCCCACCCCCAACACACACACACACACTAGTTTAGTTTTTTACCACCAGTTCTTAGAGACCAAACTTGATTTGATGGTTTTTCATGTCTATTATTTTGCTAGGGCTGTAAAGCAAAGGTATATAATGTAGCTTAAAAAGAAAAAGAAATTCACTGTATGACAGTTTTAGAAGCCATAAGTCCAACATCGTGGTATCCTCAAGCCCCTTGTGCCTCTAAAGTTGTTAAGGAATGATTTAATTCAGCCTTCTCTCCCAGCTTCTGGTAGTTCCCTGGTCTGCAATCACATAATTCTAATCTCTACTTGCTGTTTTCCCTCTGTCCAAAATTTCCCCCTTTCATAGGGACACTGAATTATATCAGAGAACATGGATGCTAAGTCAAAAACTGTCAGAAGAGATAAAGTCATCATGTAGTGATAAAAGGTCAGTGTATCAGAGAGATATATGACAATTATAAATATGTCTGTGTACAACATCAGTGCACCTAAATATCTGAAACAAACTTTTACAGATCTAAAGAGAAAAATAAAAATATAAAAATAGTGACAGACTTCAATATCCTGCTTTCTTGTGGCTATAATATTAGGCCAAAGGTTAATAAGTAAATAGCACATGTGAACAACACTATAGAATAAATAAACCTAAGAGACATGAACAGAACATGCCACCCAGCTGCAGTGCATATATATTTTGCTCAATCATGCAGAGAACATTTTGCTGGACTGATCACAAGTTACATCCTAGAAAAAAATCACAATTTTAAAAGATTATAATTATGTTAAATATCTCTTCTGACCAAAACAGAATGAAATCATAAGTTAAGAATAGATGGAAAACTGGGAAAATCCTCAAATGTGTGGAAATTACACATTGCAAAACTAATGGGTCAGATGTGAATAAAGAAAATTTTTTTAAATATCTTGAGTCAAACAGAAATGAAAACACAACATTCAAAATATTATAGGATTCAGGAAAAGCATCCTATAATAAGGGCAGTCTATAGCAGCTACCCTCAAGGAACTACAAGTGTAGTCTCGAGAACACTAAGTCCAAAGTTAGTGGAATGAAGGACATCACAAAGATTGGAGCAGAGAAAAGATAAAGAATAGGAACAAATCAATAAAGCTAAAAATTTTTTTAAAGTTATAAAGAAAGAATCAAACAACCCATTAGCACCAGGCACAGTGGTATACACCTGAAATTCCAGATCCTCAGGAGGCTGAGGCAGGAGGATTACAAGTTCAAATCCAGCCTTAGCAACTTAGGAGGCTTTAAGCAACTTAGCAAAACCTATCTCAAAATAAACAATAAAAATGGCTAAGCATGTGGCTCAGGGTTTAAGCACCCCTGGGTTCAATCCCTGGTACCAAAAAATAAAACAACAGACAGACAAACAAAAACCACCCTTTAGCTAAACTAACAAAAAAATGAGGAGTGTAAATAAAATTGGAAATGTAGGAGAAGACATTTCAACAGATGCTTCAGTAAGAATGTGCTGTTGTAAAGCAAATTTGGCTTCCTTACCTTGCTCTCTTTTGTTCTTTTTTACCATGTGATCTCTTCCCCATGTGCCACTGGCCACTCCTGCAGTTACCTGCTGCATGATGCCATCAGCCAGGTTATGTTGCTTCAGAAAGACCTCAGTAGAGGCTGACATGATGGAGCTGGTGTGGACCTTTAGTCCCCAAACTGAGTTAAATAAACTGCATTTATTTATAATTTACTTAGTCTCAGATATTTTGTTACAGAAAATGATACGATCAGTTATTGCCTATGATAAAAACAGTAAGTTAGCAAAAGAGTTTACAATTTTTAATGGTTTACAGGGACATAACAGAAGAGATATAGGATGTGATGATTATGATGAGGAGAAGAGAAGATACGAGTAAATTAAAGGAAGAGTGAAAGAGAACAATAGAAATTGGCTGTTAGCAAAAGAAAGAAGTGAAAAGAGACCTGGGGTTGTGGCTCAGTGGTAGAGCCCTTGCCTAGCATGTGTGAGTCACTGGATTTGCTTCTCAGCACCACATATAAATAAATAAGATAAAACAAAGGTCCATTGACAACTAAAAAATATTTTCAAAAAAAAATGCTAGAAGTGAGAAAAAGCAACATGAATATGTTTAAATGTCCATAAACCATTAAGCTAACAATTACAGAAAAGAAAAAATGAAAAAAAAAATATCTTGATGAAAAGTTATAAAATTGTTTCTGTTGGAGTTCAAATAATTCCTGCTACCCTTCTCAGCACTGGTAGGCAGGGACATCTAGAGCATCATGCTCCACCCTCAGGGTGGGGTTGCTAGGGTGAGAGAGGAAATTAGGTAGGTGGGGGCAGGGTTTAGGTTTAGGTGGGCTACAGGCTCTTCATTGAACGCCAGTTGGTCTGAAGATTTTAAATCAGCCCACCTTTAGGGCCCACCAATTGCTGGTTCACACTGGAAGACTGTACTCCAGGGTTCTCCCCTGGGTTCCACTCTTGTGGTGGAAGAGTCAATTCTTAGTCCATTGCCTCACCTGTGGTCCCCATATTTCTTGGTCTCAGATTCAGTCTCCAAACTCAATCTCTCCTTCCAGCCCTTTCAAACCCCCAGCCATTATGCTTCTCTCTCAGCATGTCCTGAAAGCAGTGGGATTGGAGGAGGAGAGGGAGAGCCCGGAGAGTTTCCTCTACCAGTTGTCCCATGTGTAAATCTCTTTCCATGTTTGATTTTCTCCTAGTCCACATAGGCACACTATATGTCATGCAGTGTGGGTTTGCCAGGCCTTTATTTTGAACCAGACTCAAGTTTTCCAGGAATTGGATCGCTCAGGTGCTGGCTCCTGCATCGCAGCTGCAAAATGATTCCTTCCTATGTCCTTCATAGGACATAGGACATAGGAAGAGATGTGGTTTCTTTCCGGTATGAGGATATTGTGCATCATGCCTTTCAGTGTAGTAGGCATTGTCTTTGATCTCTAAACTCTGTATCTAGACACACCTAAAAATATGGGATCCTAAAGACAATGTGGTATATATATATATATATATATATATATATATATATACACACACACACACACACACACACACACACACACACACACACAATGGAATATTACTCTGCATTAAAAGAGAATAAAACTATGGCAATTGCAGGTAAATGCATGGAGTTTAAGACTATCATGCTAAGCGAAATAAGCCAATCCCCAAAGACCAAATGCTGAATGTTCTCTCTGATAAGTGGATGCTGATCCACAATTGGGGGGTGGGAGCATGGGAAGAATGGAGGAACTAGGGGAGGAGGCATGAGGCAAGAAAGATGGTGGAATGAGATAAACATAGGTACATGTATGACTGCATACATGGTGAGACTTTACATCACGTATAACCAGAGAAATGAAAAGTTGCGCTTCATTTTATACAATAAATGAAAATGCATTCTGAAAAAAAAAATGGGATCCTTTAATTCCCTTATCCCTCCATTTTGCTCCTGGAGGTTCAGTTCTGGTGGTGCCTCTGGCAGGGGCAGTGAAATATGCACTGGGTGTTCTTCCTTATTTTATTATATCCACCCTCTTGAGTTCCAGATCTGCTTTGAGTGCTCAATATTATAACAGTAATGTCCCCTACCCCACCCCCCTTTTGTCTTTCACCTTGTCTGTTTGCTTTCTTGGTTTCACACCATGGAGAATTCAGGAAAGTGACCTTCTCTATGTTGCCATCTTAAAACTGTTGACTGTAGGCTTTTAAAGAATTGACCTTTCTGAACCAGATTACTCTGTCCAAGCTGTCCTTCAACAACAGTTCCATTTATGGGGCCACCTCCATGAGTGAGGAGCAGTGGATGCTAGGAATGACCTATGACCGTTATCTGGTCCAAAGAGTCTCAGCATGCTGCTCATGCAGCCTCCCTTTTCACTGGCCCAGTGTCTATCATCTTCCTACCATATGTATCATTCAAAGAGCTTTGGTGCAAAAATAATTCACAGGAGAAAAACCAGACAGGAGAGAAAAATCTTGCAATTACATTTAATTTTAAATGCTTAATTATATCACAACCAAGGTAGGTATGTGATCATTATTGGAAATATGCAAAAATCTGTCTTTTTTGTATTAAATGCTTCTAGTATGGGTCTCAGGAATAATCTGTGGGGCTCCCTGTTTTAATGAAACAATTGCAATTTTAGTTTCTCTGGGAGGCCAGATAGGAAAACCAAAATTTGCACGCAGTTGAGAATTAGATAAAAATGAGTTAGTGAGAGGAAGGCTATTGAACTGGAAAGCACTTCTAATACTAAATTTAAAAAAAAGAAGAAGAATGAAAACTGAACCAGACAGGCAATATACAACACACGCTGAATTAGGCTTTGAGGTTGAAAAATTTCAACAAAATGGATGTTTACTCATCTAATCATGTAGTCAATGGAAATAATTTATCAAAATTATTTTTTTAAATATTTATTTTTTAGTTGAAGATGGACACAATACCTTTATTTTATTTTATATGTGGTGCTGAGGATCGAACCCAGGGTCTTGCACATG